TATTATTATATTAATTTTATTATTATCAATGTCATATTATTATATTATTATTGTCTATTACCATTATGAATTCATTATATTAAAAAGGAGACTATTATGTTGTACATTCACACCTTTTATTTTTATTTTTTTTTTATTTTCAAACCTTGATCATCCCGCATTATAGTCCTCCTCGCAACAAAAAACAACGTACAATATGTAATCGCCAGCGTTGAGAATTGGATAGATCGTGGAAAAAATTTCGATGCACCGGTAGTGTGATTCATACAATTTGGAAAATTATGCAGGGATCGGAAGGGAATGCATACGTACACAAGGGTATTAACGATTAACGCGATAGCATCGAACGTCGGACGGGTATAATTAACGAGAATCGTTGAAATCGGGCAACGTGGTTAACCAGCCGAGGCATTATCGGCATCGCAAATTCATTACGAGCCAATTTCAGTTTATTGCTACGTCGAAGGAAATCGAGGGCCAGGGGAGGGTGTCCGCGGGATATATTCTTTAACGAACATTTCGCTTCAATTGCCCGTGGCATTATTTCGCGGGTCGAATTTATGCTTGAAAACTTCCCACGAAGATCCGAGGTTCGTGACGCATAAATCACGAACGCGGCTTGTCGCGTGTCGTTCGGTGAAAGCTTCGGCCTGCGAACGAACGAGCAAGCGCATGCCTCTTTTCGACCCGCAAAAACGCGGAATTGTCTACTATATGCGACCGGCGATTTATACTGCGTCGCGTTCAAAATTATTGGCGGCCTCGGGACGTAGTTCGCGTTCTCGCGCAACGGAGGTGACGCGATTGCACAGGTAAGCATAGTAATTACATTCATTGATAATGACGCTAAATAATGAAGATAACTTTTGAGCTTGAAAATGAAGTATTTCTTTTTTCTAAAATTGTTCCTAAAAGTTCACATGATTCCTAGTGAATAAATTTGTCTGTGGTCTTAGCCATATTCTCTCGCCACATGGTGCAAAATTGTTCGATTCTTACTCGAAGGATCCGTGCCACCCTTGACTCGGTGGCGCCTTCTATGTGGAGGCCGGTGTTCCGAACAGATGCGAATTACAGAGAAGGCGGCGGTGGTGGCGGCAGCGGCGTCGCGACGGCTCCTATATCATTTCGTGAAGAAATATGAGATCTCGCAGCCGGCTGTTGAACATGTCGCGAGGCTCCGCGGGTACGCGTAAACCTTTTGCAGCGTGCGCCGCGGTTAACCGGATGTGTCTCGCCTCGTTTCACTTCCCCCGACTCGATGAATATGCACGAAACGGTATGACTTAACGCCTGCGCCAGCACCGCGCGTGTGCCTTGAGAAACGACCGTGAAAACGGATAGAATGGAAAACCTAAACTTTATTCGATGATCAATGCGTTTAAGGAATGACATGATGAAATTTTGTTAATGGTACCTACGGACGATGTTTAAAACAATTGACTAGACATTCTTGCATGTTAACAAGCTGCATGATTTATCAAAACCATAATTCCTTGGAAGCATAAAATGAATTTTGGAGACACACTAATCCAGGTTAACGGGAGTGAAGAAAAAGAAGTAGGGAACAAGTTTGCAGAAGGCGGCAACAAATCGCGAAACCGAGAGAACCACGAGACTAATCTAAGGCTGCGACAAAAGAAACTCGTTCCCGACAAGACAAAGGTTACGGCCGAGTCATTCTTCAAAGGCTCGCAAGAGGCCCCGGGGACCGCGAATACGGCAACGATAGCGATATTAATAATAGGTATAACAACGAGCAACGAGGACCATATCGATAACCCCGTGCGGTGCGGTCGGGCATTACCATAAATTTGAATGTCCGCGCAGTCCTCCTCGCCTCTCTATTTCTCTCTCTCTCTTTTTCACCTTCTATTGCGACTTCTCTTTCACGCTCGGGGATCGAGACACGGCTGGTGCTCTTTCTTCGCGCAGGCTCCGCAGCCTTCCCTATGGTTGAAGCGTCCCTGCCCGCGACTGCAACCCCTTTTTTACGGCTTACTTTATGGCAAAGACTCAATTTGGCCCCGGCAGTTGGTGCCCGTTCGCTCGGTGACTAATATACCGCGATGCACCGCGTGGGGTGCAGCCGTGATGCATCGTTCGCGGTACACCTCGTTCATGCCAGCTTCCCCATCTCTCTCCTCTGCCACCTTCGACTGCACCAAACTCGTTCACTGTCCGGTTTTTAACAAATTTTACTTTGTAAACTGTATATGAATTACAAATTTATATATATTGCTCTAGGATTACTGAACGTCTATTTTTATGAGAGAATTATTTCCTCTTATTGGATAACGGATGACACAATTCAGGAATCAATGAGATCGAGAATACATAAGAAGGCAAGTTTCTAAGTCTTCATCGTTGCATTACGTGGAATGAACTGTCGCTGATATTCACGTGTTTCGATTAAAGATATTTAATTCAATAATCAATGTCAAATAGTACAACACTAAAAAATCACTTGACATTACATCATGAAAAATTAATTGCTCCATGACCGAGTCTTCAGCCAGGATTCACCCTTTTAGTGTCTATTCGTTCTCGCATTTCCTTCCGAGGTAATAAATGTTGTCTGAAATTTTCCCCTCGTAAATCCCAGCCAGGTCTGAACACAGTTTTACTTTTTGAATTTCTACGAATATTCATACAAGAGCAGAGGCATTCTCGTTTAGCTACATCTTCTTTCGCGCAGTGGGACAGGTTACCGCGCTAACTTACGCCGGATTACGGACACTATTTCATCGCATATCCTTCTGCCTCGACCACCATACATTGTCGCTTTTACTTCTTTCGTTCTCGCATTTTAATGAGCTTAGCTCATCTCCATACAAGTGTTGTCTCACTTAAATCTCGAACCGTTTAAAAAGATTCTTCGCCTGGATTAAACAATAATATCCCGTGATTACATGAATCTAATGATTGCATAAAATAAGAAGGTGTAGAAAGAATCTGATTGCGATCGAGATCGAAATGGAGTCGTGCGTTTTCTTTTGGACGAAGCTAAGAAAGAGAGGGCGCGAGTCAAAAGTCTGCAAGCCAGATATGCAAAACGGGCACGTGATTAAAGCGAGTCGCGCACTAGCTCGACTCGGGCCGGATTTGATCAGATTGGATCTGATCGGATCGGATTAGACATTGTATCGCAGAACTAGTTGCGCATTGGTGCGAAACGGATCGAATCGGACGTCGGGTACGGTGCACCGCCGCGTCAGCCAAGCAATAACGCGAACGGATTGTCGTTGAAAGGAAAAACCATCCATTCGTTCTTGTTCCTCCTTACTCTTTACGTTAGAGAAGGAGTCGGTCCCGTTCGGTAAGGAAAGCGGGCCGAGGGAATTAATAGGACGATGCGGAACACGACGCGACGGAGAAACAGGCGAGGAAATCGTTAACCGAGAGAGGAGAACGCGTTACGTTCTTTTAGAAAGCAGTTGAAATTGCCCGGATAAGATAAGCCCACGACGGCCGAGACACGGACTTTCATGTTTTCTAGCGGCTTCTTAGATTCTAACCAGCATTTTTAACCTCGTTGTGTTTACTACAAACCCAACACTTTCGTTCATGTCGAGTTTCTCAATGATAAAAGAGAAGTCGATCGCCCGAGTGTTATTTTTATTCTTTCCACTTGTTTCATTAAAATTTATTACCAGTCGTATTGCTAGGTTATTAGATCTGTTGTACAAAAACTGTGAAGATAAAGCTGGAAGGAAAGAACAGGTCTTCAACCGTGTAATTAGCACATTTGGATGAACAGGCTTTATAAAATATGTTACAGGTGTTATTCTTGGTTCACTGTTCTAGTTTTTCTTTGAACGTTCGAATGATGCCAAAACAAGCAGCAACATATGAAATTGGTCAAATGGAGTCATCGAGGAAGAGAGAATCGTCGCTCGATCGAAAGAACGACACCCCCAACGGCGCGGCGTTCGCTGAAAGTTGGGCCGGCCGCACGGATGAATGAAGAAAACCAAGAGCAGCGGGCGCTGTGGACTTAGAAGAAGAACTACGCTCGGATCA